AGGGACTTGTGCTGCCCCGGGCCCCTGCCAGGCTTTGCTAGCACTGAGCGGTGCTGGCAGCACCCACCAGTCCAGGACGGTGCTGGAGTCGTCCTGGCCGTCCAGGTGCTCCGGCAGTGGGAGCAGCGGCTTCCCCTGGATCTTCCCGCCCATCACGAACATCTTGTTCTTCAGCTGGTGGGCTTGTCGCACGATGTCCTCCACCACCACCCTGGGCCAGCCCACCATGTTCTCCTCACTCAGAAGCAGGGGGGACACGACCTGGAGGAGAGGGCTTGGTCGGGTGCTTAGTCGGGTGCTCGGTCAGGAGCACCGGCTCTCCCGTTGCAAAGGGCAGTGTGCAGCCACGCTGGTTTGCACAGTGTCCCCTCTTGCTGCCCACCCGAGCCCAGTCTCAGCCCAGCCACAGCTCCGGCAGCCACAGATGGGTTTTGCTGATGTTTTTTCTCATCAGCACAACCAGGAGTCCCCTCACCCTGTGGCGGGTTTCTGACTCATGGTTTGGGAAGTGCTGGGAGCGGTGCAATGAGTGCACCCAGCGGGGTGAGGGGCTGGCGCACGAGCAAAAGCCCCAGGCATTGAAGAGGAGGAATTGCGGGGGCTCCTGGGGCCTGACTCAGCTTTTGGGTGCTCTGGGCTGGCAGTCCTCTGAGCGGGAATATTTATGAGAAGTTTGGGAGAAATCCACTCAGACATTTCCCAGCTGCGGAGCATGGGTAAGGGGGAATTACGCTGAGTTTTTAAAACCACAGGGAGGAAGTGATCCAGCTGGGCCCTGGGAGAAAACCAGGCTTGTGACCTTCACCCAGCTCTGTGTCCTGGTGAGCCTCGGTCAGCCCACCAGCACAGCAGGGCGGGCAGCCGAGAGCCACCGTAAGGCCAGGGCCAGCGCCTGGGGCAATTTTTCCTCAATTAATTTCCTTTAGTTGCTTTTCGAGCTTACCTAAAGTTTTGGCTACAGCAGCCTGCAGCAGGTATCCAGGCTGCAGTGGCATGTGTGGGGAGCTTGGCTCATCTCACCTGCCCCGAGCCTGTGCCCGGCACCCACCCACATGGGCGACCTACCTCCTCCACCACGGTGATGAGCTGCTCCACCGGCGAGGGGCCGATGTCTCCCACCAGCAGCCCACTCCGGCAGTTATCCCGGGTGATGTTCTCCCTCTTCTTCTTCACGAAGTAGACACCCTTGCCCCTGAGGGCGGGTGGGAAGCAGGTGGTCGGCAGGAGCTGCCCAGAGGGATTCAGCCCCAGCACCAGCTCCAGCACGTCCTGCTGCTTGAAGAACTCATCCAGCACGGCTGCAGCCTCCTCACTGCCTACAAACTTGCTCCACTTGTCCAGCTGGACCCGCAGTAGCACCGTGGTGAAGCTCTCCAGGAAGCCATGCCGCTCGTCCAGTGCGGCTGACATCCCGCCAGCACTGAGCTTGGCCATGGCTCCCCAGTGCCGAAGCCCAGCTCAGCCAGGGGCTGTGCAGACCCCACACCCCAACCCCTCCATGCTCCCCTCACTGCACCCCCGCTGCTGCCCTCAGCCTTCCCTCTGCACACTGCAGCCTTGGGGAGAGCTGCTGGCCTCACCCCTGCCTGGCCCCATTGCCCGCCCCGGCTCCATCACCCCCCAGCCTGCCACATCCTTGGCCCCATCGCCCCCCAGCCTGCCACATCCCTGCCTGGCCCTACTGCTCCACTGCCCTGCCGCACCCCTCAGCCCTCCAGCAGCCTCCAGCCACTGTCCGCAGCCCAACCGACACCGGCTGCAGCCCCAACCGCTGCAGCCCCAACCGACGCCCGACGCCAGGCCCCAGCCGACACCAGCTCAGCT